TCCATCACTGTGGAATGAATCATCCCAGGTTAGGGTTTATCGGAGAAATCAGCAATGGCTTGAGGAAAGCAGGAATCCTGCCATGCTTGGGTTTTAAAGAGAACACTCTTGAATCAACATTGAGTCCTTTCAACCCCTTTGCAGTATTTTTTCACAATTAATGGCAAAAAGAAACTCTGGTGCTTCCAAGCAGCAATACTGATAACTATTTGGCCGTGATACTTGGGTAATGTAACTGTTTAATTTAGTGTTATCAACTGAGTTAAAAACATAAATTGGCTACTGTAAAGAGTTAGAAGGCTGCTGTTTTGAGCATTACCCCTAATGTAACTGTTGTCCTCAGACACCATGTTCAGAAGCATTTTTTAGGTGCCATGAAGACCATTTCATACATAAAAAGTGATGACTGACACATATTGCGAAAAAGCCATTGCACAGCACTAATAAGAGACCACTTAGCTGGGTTAAATTATACAAAGAGGTAGTTTAACCACAATTTAAAATTAACCACACTTGGTTGAAAAAATCTATTGTTCTTCAATTAAGTTCCATGGTAGCCATTAACCCAGGTTCAGTTTGATCAAAAGCTAAAAAAAGCAGCCACATCACGAGTTCTCACTAACCCAGTCATTTCTAATTAAACAGTTAGAAATAACCTGGTTAACTCTCCTTGTGCAGCCTCGGCCATTGTAACTTAAAGATCCTTGTTGTTGTAAGATGTAAAGGCAAAAAATGGTCTAAAACTGTTGCATCACAAGTTACGGAGTGACAAAAAAGTTATTTCTTTCGCAGCATTGTGCAACTAGTGACAGCAGTATTATTTATGTTTGTGAATGTTACTAGTGTCATAGGGCTGTAGTATCCACATTTAACAAATAGAGAGGCCTTGACTGTGCTCTGTTCTGTTGTAAAGCACACAGGAAGTGGCTAGAGTTTGAAAAAAGTGTAGGGAGAAACACAAGACATAGACAAGAGTTTTTCCCACTTCTGGGTGTTCTAGCTGCTTCCTAAGTGCTTTATAACAAAACAGAGCACAGTCAAGGCTTCTTTGTTTTACTATAAAGAACCAAAATTTGCAGGATGACACATGATTGATCCAAAATTATCTGCATAATGTGGAACTGGACATCTCAATGTGATTTGCTATTTTATAAGTGTGTGAAGTGTGTTTTACAAGACTTACTAATTAGATTTACATGATAAGTGAACACTCTTTGACCTAGAAGGATACCAATCATTCAAAGTAGATAGTCTTAGTTCATTGGAAATTATTATTAAATAATTAAAATAAAACATTAATAATAAAACATTATTTCCACTAAACAAGAATCAGTAAACTGTGGCACTGTTTTGTGGTCTTTCCTGTCCTTTGCTGACCTTTGCTTGACCTTAAATGTCTTTGTAGGTCAACATTTGCATAAGGACTTTGACCTTCAGTGTTATTTTTGTTGACCGCCTGGTTGTGATAGTGCATCAGATCATATTAAGAAAGACCAGAAAGTATGCAAAACCATTGAATGAAAGATCTGAAAGAATGTAGACCCAAACAACCCCAATGGCTGAAACGGTAAAAGACATTGGTGTTTTGGTGTCATTTTATGCTGCCTGAGTAAATGGTAATGTTAGCAATGAGGCAGTACACAAGGAAAAATTTTGTGCACCAGTTAGTAGTACACAAACTTTTTCCAAGGTTGTCGTAGACCTAAACGAATTCAAAAGCTACGTTATATCCTTTACTGACAAAAAAATAGTTGTTGTACAGAAGGGGATTGGGCAAAACCTTAACATAAATATTGCCGGTATCAAAGAATAGTAAAGGTTGTGTAGACATCTATTCAATTTGTTCAGAAGACTCTTGGAGCTATGAGTGGCCACAAATTGAAAGGCAGCCAAATTAGCCAAGTTCATACCAGTGCTTGTGAGAACTAATTAGCCATATATGAGTTCACACTACAAAAACATTGTCAAAACTATGACTACTTACTTATTAAACAACACACTATGATGACTATGATGCCAAGACGAACACCTCAGATGGTGAATTGAAAAAATTAAAAAATCTTAGTGAACAGAACTTTGAAGGTGAGGCAAACAACAGGCTATTGGATGAAGAGGATACTCAACAAAGTAACTTGGGTAGTAAATATGTAAGCTTAGCTCTTGTGTTATATGTACTGATTCTTTAATTTGTTTTTACTATGTCTGATACTTGTAAAGTAAGATTTGATATTGTGATACCAAGCCTAAGTAAATGCTCTCAGAGCACCTCGTTTCAACAAGTGAGTTGTCTTTATTTGTCTCACAAAAAGCAATATGACAAGTGAAATGCAATTCAGTCCTGGATGAAAAATGTTAGATGCAATATAAGTTTTAGTAATACATCCTATAGGTTGAAATCTTACAGTATCAGCTTAGTACACTTACTCCTTTTTAAGTGAAGCATGATTGGTTAAAAAAATTATCCATGATGCATGATTTAATAGAAAAATTATGTGTGATGTGTGATTGGAACTTTCCCTTTACCACCCTCTTTGAGGATTCTCCTCCCTGCTAATGTTATAATAACATAAATATTATATATTCACTTGTTCCAAAATTTCACTTTAAATTTACAAAGAAAAGCTTGAGAGAAGTTGACATAGTACAATTCAGCAGAAGGCTCCGCATTTGGACCATTGATATGGAACATGTTCCAAAATGATCTGACATACAGTGTAAATTCTAATTCTAATATCAATATGTATGCAGACGACCACCAGTTCCATGCTGCAGGCAGTAATGTTACTGAGGTGCATGATAAGTTAATAGCAAGTGCCGAATTAGCCTCCAGATGGTATAGATCGAATTTCTTAAAAGGGAACTATGACAAGTATCAGACAATGACACTTGGGAATAAAAATAATGATATGGATAGTATTATAATTGATGACAATGAAGTTAAATCTACCAAGTGTTTAAAACTTCTTGGGGTATATATAGACAATAGGCTTCAATTTGATGAACACATTGCTAACATTTGTAAGAGGAGTAGCCAGCGTGTTGGAGTCCTGATGAGGCTCAGGAATATTACCAACAGACACCAAGCTGAAGTTGTTTAAGGCAGCCATTCTTCCGTATTTAACATACAGCCATCTTGTCTGGCATTTTTGTAGGGCGAGTGATACTAGAAAATTGGAACGTATTCAAGAAAGGGCACTTAGGGCAGTTTACTGTGATAAGGGGAGTAGTTATGATAAATTATTAGACATGGCTAACCTAAGTACACTGCAGAACAGAAGACTACAGGACATAGCCATTCTTATGTATAAGGTAAAGAACAATTTATCTCCTAATTACATATGTAGCCTTTTTCAAATTCCACAACTTAGGTACACACTGCGTAATAATGATTTTGGTATACCTAGATTTAATACTGTCACTTTTGGAAAACATTCGCTTAGATATATGGGACCCAAAATATGGGCAATTGTACCAAGAAATGTAAGAGAACTGACATCCATATCATCTTTTAAATGTAACATACGTAGAATAGACCTTGTTTCTAAATTGACTGATAGTAAATGTGAAAACTGCCTTTTATGTAAGACTTAGGTTAGATTTTAAATTGTACATATATATTGTTTTATTTTTAAATTTCTCAAATTTTTAGGTAGTATTTAGTGTCCCCAGTTAGTGGTTGTATAACTGCTATTTTAGATTTGACACATAAATAAAGGTTGTTGTTGTTGTTGTTTATCTCAGCCCTATGCTTTGTACTCTAATAGAGCATGCTCTTTCAACCAATGACAGCATGCATTATATCCAAACTTCACTACAAATTAAGCTCAGGTTGTGTTCACCGGTTACCTAAATTAATATGTAATTGACAAAAAGCATGTCCCATTGAGCAACACACGACTTGATAACTAATCAGTCAATGCTCTTATTTACTGATTTAAAGGAAACCTACTGTCGTATTACAATATATGATACATTTTCGCCATACGTTTGCATATTGTAACGGGAGTTAAGAATACGATAAATCAAAGGCTTAGAAACTTGAAGGACGATTGAGGTCGTGATTACTGAGCACAATTAGACTGGATTAGAAAGGGGCCATGTGTATTTTCCGCTTCTTCCGTGTTTTGCATGATGAAACTTAAACTACGAACTTCTCTTGTCAAGAACCCAATAAAAGTATGGTCTATCGCGAAGGAATGTAATATCATGAAACAACTATAGTTAGGGCTAAAAGGTTGCACGACAATTGATTATATTGTCGTGACAACAAACCTAAGTAACTAGTACCCACTGTTGAGAGGAATCATGATAAACAAGAGAGATGTTTTACTTGACCCACTTTGGAATTGAACCTCACCTCGTCTACCTTGGTCGCTAAACTCGGTTTCAATTCAATTTTTTCCTTTAACTCGTTAAATTTTCCCTCGTACGCGAGTGAACAGATCTCTATACAAGACATTGTCGGCGTCTTTTTGAAACCATCCGTCTCGTTTTCAGATCGAGGACGACAATACTCTCAGGGGTGGGGTCACTGTGAACTTTGGAGACATATCACAGTTGGTCCTAGAGATAGTCTTGACGACCCTATTTAAGACTCTTTAGGATAGATCGGCTTGGTAAAAATGCTTAATCATTAAAAATACATGAACTCAATCAAATTTTTTAGAAAGTAGGAATTCGTGAAAATATATGTGTATTATCTATGTATAAAATAATTATTTATGTATAAAATGTAAGAAAGCAAAATTACATACATTACACGGGTAACGTGTAATGTCTGTAAACTAATCGAGTTTAGCGGTATGAGCGGAAGGCCGGAGCTTGCTATGATTTGCGAGAACTGATGCCTCTTGCACCGGAGGCAGTGAGTGTTTTTATAAGTTTTGTTTTAAGCCAAACTTGACGAAATGACAAGGACTGTTACGCGTAGGCCCCGGGGAAGAGTCATTAATAATATGTGGGAAGCTTTGCAGGGGGTAATCTTATTTCGATCGTCACTCGCGAGGCGTTGTATTATGTCCGCCATTTTGGTGGAATATTGTATGAAATTTAGAGTTTGAGACTGAACTCCAGCTACTCTACCTCACTTTACCAACACTATTTGAAACATCGAAATGTCCGTTAGACGCCAGTTAAAGAACGTGGTGAACAACTACTCGAACGCCGAAGTAAAAGTTCGCGAAGCTACTTCGAACGATCCTTGGGGACCATCAAGTTCTGTGATGACTGAGATTGCCGATGCCACTTACAACGTGGTTGCCTTTTCAGAGATAATGGGGATGATTTGGAAAAGACTCAACGATCATGGAAAAAACTGGAGGCACGTGTACAAGTCATTGGTTGTTTTGGATTACATTATTAAGACTGGCACTGAAAGAGTAGCTCAGCAATGCCGAGAGAACTTGTACGCAATTCAAACTTTAAAAGATTTTCAGTTCATCGATAAAGACGGTAAAGATCAGGGAATGAACGTACGTGAAAAGGCTAAACAGCTTGTTGCATTATTGAAAGACGAAGATCGGCTGAAGAGTGAGAGGGCTCGAGCATTAAAAGCAAAGGAGAGATTCGCACAAGCCAGTTCTGGCATCGGCAGCGATTCGGTGAAAGCCGGCAACTTACGAGACTCGGGAAGCACATCTGATCTGCGTCTTGGTGCCCCAGCAGCACCAGCAACTGGTGTACCAACTAGCCGCTCGTGGGAACCTGCCAGGAAAGTCCTAGGCAGCGATATGGAAACCTGCCGTCCGTCGAATGCCAACGAGGAAGAATTACAGTTGCAATTAGCGTTGGCACTAAGCAAGCAAGAGGCAGAAGAGAAAGAAAAACTGAACGAGAGGGATGATCAACGGCTAAAGATGGCCATTAGCCAAAGTCAACAAATTCCTTCACCTCAGGAACCATTGCCACTGGATGTTGGAAGCAATGGTGTTCAAGTTTCCCAGGATACGTTTGACCCTTGGGGTTCTACACCATCAGGGGTTGCAAGTTCCCCCATGTCACAACCGTCTATATCACAACCTTCCATTCCACAACCTGATCCCTGGTTAGGTGGCACCAATTCAGTCGCCACTGCTCCTACCAATCCTTGGGGAGACAACAGTGCATCTTATCAATTGCCAATAAACTCATCACAGAATCTTTTTGGAGCTTCAAACAACACACCTGTTGTGGCAGCTATGGCTGGAGGAACAGATCCCTGGGGAGCAGCCCCTATACAAAGTAATTCAGCTACAGCACCTCCCCTGAGTGACCCATGGAGTGGAAGAGACATTTTTCCCGCAGAAGTGGCACCACAACCTCAAGGGCCATGGGAAACTTTGCAGCCTGAGGGTTTCAATGCTTTCAACCAGAGTGCTACTGGCAGTGGAATTTCAAGTCAGCCACCTTTGGTTCCATTTAACCTTGAAAATAAAGATGAAGTATTAATGAAGTCAACAGGTGGCCAGGAATTCCTGGATAACAGGGTTTCTAATTTGGTGAACTTAGATTTGCTAACGCAAAAACCTGACCCTGTTGCCAATCCTTTCTTGTCCAGCAAACCAGCATCATCCAGATCAACTAATCCATTTGTACAAGATAAGCCTCAAGCACCAACACTGAATCAGCTTCGTGAGCAGCCAGTTGTAGTACCAAACAGCATGCAGAGTATGAGTGGAGGAGTGTTACTACCCTCACCTCTAATTCCAGATTCTACCTCTAGACCCCAGCAAACAGTTCAAAGTAATCCCTTCCTGTGAGGAAGCAAGTGATCAACTTAGTCAAGAAGAAAGGTATGTTTAATTTGTTGTTTCAACAGAATTGCTTATTGCCTTGAACATATGATACTACTAATCAGGTGATGAGGTTCCCTTCTGTGGAAATTATCTTTTAAAAGGTTTTTCCCCTGAAGTGCACTTGAGGTTAAGAGAGAAGGAAATGAAAAATAAGTAAAAAGTCATTTACACCCTGCTTACTATGCTAAGGTTTTGTTTTTGGTCACTCAAAGAAAACAGAGGTGGCAGAGCAAAAACTAGTCACAAAGTTTGAGTGTTCAAACCACCTGCTGAAATTCAATTGGTCAGTTATTTAAACTTTTGTCTAACAAAAATGTGTTCTAAGCCATCTTCAATTTAGCAGAACTTTATCTGAACATTTATTTTCATGTACAGTGTTAAGTGGGCCAAAAGCTTATTGTGGAAGGACATTTATTTTATTATATCAACCCTCTTAAAGAGAATCCCTGAGGCCCACTACTTGGGTAAAGCTATGGTTTGGGTTAGACCTTGTGTTAATAACCAGCCCAATGAGTTTTCTAGAGCTTCCCCTTTGGATAGTTTGCTAACAACCAAATTGATCCACCCCAAATGGAAGGAACCTGTTACATATTGCATCTTGCACCAAAATCAAGAGTCTCCCAGTAAGGACTGTGTTTACTCGTGTCTAAGTCGACCTTTTAAGACCAAAAACTCAGCCCAAAAAATCACCCATGACTTATACACAAGTCATACACAGAGACGTGGTCTAAAGCAATCCAAGAAATTAGCATAACAATTGCCTGAAGTCTGTAAAGGAAACCAAGTTTACAAAACCAGTTCTAATTGTGTTTGAGTTTCGTCAGTTTTCAGTGCATTCTTCATCAACAAAAAGCTTGAAATAATAAATTTTAAGAGGCTTAAACACAAAGCTACTGAAGCTGATGACTATTTTGTCTTCTAATCTGTAGAGCAGACATTTCACTTACAGCTTTGCTGCTGTTTGCGGTGCTGAATTGAATGATTTCAGTAGCTTAGTGACCTGGCAAATGGTGTTGTCTCACATAGTCTTGTTTTTTACCAGCAATCTTTCAAAGCTCCCCAGTGTTCCTTTGGTCCACTAAATCTCCTTTCAAACTTAACATTAAGTTTAGTTAAATGCAAGATGATTTTATTTTCAATGTGATTTAAAAAATATGGTAAAATACTTCTCTGGTAAATGGAAGTGCTAGTGTATGCTTAACTGGTGGTGATATAAACAAGTGCTGATAAACTCTACAGCACATGGTTACATTTTGCTTTGCAGTTTTTTTTTTAATTCACTGTGTTTTCAATACATTCTCAGAAATAGGAGATTAACTTTTTGGGAAATTTCTATTGGTATTAATTTTACTTCTTTAACCATAAATGATGAAGAATATGATTTTTGACCTTGAAAATGAGGGGTGGACTTATACATGAGTTCGACTTGTACACAAGTAAATACAGTATGTACATTTTTGTTGATGCCAGTAAAGTAAGAAATGCCTAGGTAGCTACAGTATTTAATCTAGAAAGGCCTCAAAAGAATTAAATATTAAATTTTTTATAAATACTTGTATTGAAAAAACAGAACATACTGGAAACAACCAGTGTCTTCCATTTCCATTTTCTTGACCATATACTTGACAAAATCTTTTAATCATCATGGCCAATGTTACTAATAGAACAACATGCTTCTCCTTTTCACAAGCTGTTGTGTGTGTTGTTGCAACATTTTTCACACTGATTTTGGTCAATTTAGTGTCCTTTGTGTCCTAATGGTCCTCAGCCACTAATAATTTTTATTTGCTGTTCTGTTCAAAAGTAGCACTGCCAATTCCAGCGAGCCCTCTGAAATGCTTAGAGAACTTGTTTCCAATTGTCTCACTAAAATTAAACAAATAGTTCACTGATTAAACTATAATTAGAGAATCATATGGTGGATGTAAAGAACTAATTATCAATACTTTCAAAATTGTTTCTACTACAACATTCATTAAGTATATTGAATCTATGCCCAAATGCATTTCTAGAGTAATTGCCAGTAGAGAAGGGTGCATCAGGTGTTGAACTTTGCCTCCCTTAGAAAAAACACAACACTTTTCAAAGACAAGAATAGTGTCTTCTACTGAAAAGTCCAATAATAGTGACTAAAATGATGCAGCGGGTTTCACGAAGGTGTGTATACAAACATTGTTTGCATACAATATTTCCTATGTGTAGTTCATTGAAGATTATTCACAATTATCGACACTCTTGTTGATCTTTCCATTTGATTCTTTGTTTAATGAAAGATACAATGTAATTCTAAACTTTCATATTCTTGAGGTGTTAAAAAACAATGTCAAAGGTAAGCATTAAGCAACTGATACATACTTGCTAAATCAACATTTCTGAACAATCTCCCAGCATTCCTCTTAAATACACTCCCAGACACATTTGTTGGTGTTCTCAATGTTTACCTGCAAGGTCACTTAGAAAAAGTGGGGGTAAACAACATTGGAAGGGGGAGAAGGGTGAAAGAACATCATGGATGTTACTTTGGAAAAGTTCTCCAACCACAGTGGTTCTATCTGGGAGTGTAGATTGATTAGCAATAACTGTCCTAGCCAGCCATTGTATTTTCCAACTCTGTTTTGTGTCTCCTATTTACTATTAAGTTCAGCTTGTGCTCTATACCGAGGCAGCTTCCTTTCCCTAACCCCCTTCACCCTAAGATCAGCATGCATATTCTCCTTACTGAGATTAACAATCTAGATCCCTTTTGTTGGTGATTATTTCCTTTTTTCTTGTGACCTTAACTGTGTGTTCTTGTGTGGTATTGTAAGGAGAAATTTGATGCTTGTTACTCTTAAGGGTTAAACAGTTAAAACAATACTTTAGGGAAGATTTTGGTAGGTGGCTGCTCAACTTGTTAACAGCCTGAAACAATACCCTGCTGTAATGTGGATGAACTTTTTAAACAACTGGCAATATGAAATGGAATAGGCTCTGGACCTTCTTTAATTGCTCCAGCAAAGATACTTTTCCTGCTGCCTAACATTTCAATCATTAAATTGTGTATTTTGCTTGCACCAATCAGATTGCACTTCGGTATGTTGTTAGCATTGATAAGATTGCACCTGCTATTTTGCTGGCATTAATCAAATTACACCAGGTATATTGCTTTCACCAATTAGATGGAATTTAACTTTGTGTTTCACTGAAATTTTCTATAAGATTCATCTTGTTCACAACGTTGTGCCTTAATTTAATTCTGGAAGCTACAAGACAAGTGTGTCCAAGATATGTCATGTCAACTCTAATGTGTCCTTTACATGTTTTGCCATATAAATTAGACTGCAACACTTGAGGATACAGTATTGTGGGACAGGATTTATGCCTCTTTCTTATACAAACTTGTAATCTTCCCTTTTTCTTTTTTGCAACATAATGGCAAAATGAAACATCTTTATACAAGTGGTATCCTCGAACAGCTGAGTCAACGATGGCCAGGCCCTGGCCCAGACTCCTCCCAACATCTAAAGCTTGGCTACTACGCACTTGTTTGTTTTCTTTTCTGTTTCACTTTCTTTAGACTTGATAAATGTGAAAGACAGCCACAACTTCTATGTCAGTGTTCCGAAACCTTGATTGTTTGTAGCAGTACAACTCTACTGAAACTTCAAACTTTATTGTTTTATTTTTTTCCAAATTCTGCACCTCCAAATTGGGGGTGCGGCTTATCTACAGGTGTGGCTTATACATGGACATTTACGGATTCCTTGTTTCTCCATATTAACGGCAATATTAATATCTGCATCATATATTTGAATTGTCTGTGGGAAATTGTTGATAGTGAGTGGATTGTTATCGCCATTGAGTTTTTCTTTGTAAAACTTGTTTGCATGGTCAGTGATTCGATCTAGAGTCTGAAATCCAATACCCACAGTATTTGATGATGGAAAAACAAATGCTATAAAAAGATGTGGCATAACAGCACAACAAGGGAATATGAATGGTTGTAATTTCAGCATCTGCATGATTTGCTTTGAGAGGGACAGCTGACAACTGGTGATCAGAAATATCTGTCATATCACATTGTTTTTCATTAATATGTACACTTTTGAGTTCAAATAAAACATTTGGATTTTGCCTCAAAATAGTTTATTAGCTCATTTAAGGTGTTAACCTCTAACAGTACACAAGTTCCTTTAGGATGGGGCATACCATATGAATCTCTACCATGAGAATCAAATATCTTAAACTTACCATAACCATTACTGTAAAAACCTACTGTAGTACTAAGGATTGTTTAAAGAAAGAAATTATAATTTTGTCCTAGCACAGCCTGCATAGCATTTGCAAATGACATGCAATAATTGAAATCTTGTACTTCACAAGTACCATGTATAGTATTAGTACAGCTTGGACTATATTGAGGCTGATAATTAATATTAAACATTATTACCATTGCAGGTACTTCTGTTAACAGTAAATAGGATTGCTTGGACAGACTAGATAGACCAGAATACAATTAATTACCAATCTTCATGATATTAACCAAGTCCATTGAGGTTACAATACCATTCCTCTTGTTATGTATAAAGGAAAGCAAGTGACATGGCTACACACTGTGTACCAGCACTTAACCCAAACATTGCCACATTGTCATGACTGTAAGGAACTTGAATTGTTTTAGTAGAATTGATAATAGGACCAGGGTTTTTTCTATATCCCCAGAAAGATTAGACTTACAATGATTTATCCTGTGATTCAGATTTTTATAAACATTTGGTACTGAATTAGACCTCCATGCATTCAACTGCTTTGGCTTTGGACTGTTTATTACATGTGGGTATTGGTTTTGCATTTTCAGTATCCTGTATTTGTTAGACTTTAGATATTTTCTCCTGACTGCAGAAGAGGGATATTTCATTGTTCCTTTATTTTCACAACTGATTCCATGTGCATATATTTTTTCACAAGCTTAATTTGTAAAAAGATGCATTCGAGAAGACTTCGGTATGCCTTTTCTGATGTAGGTTCGAAGTAAATGTCTTACTTTCCTGGATTTCTGCAAAATATGTGTAATTCTTTTCTTTGGTATTCTGCTGGGCTCACAATGCTGAACACGAATACCATATATACGAGGGCAACTAAAATAAACAAATTTGTCATATCGAGATCTACAGTTACAGACTGTATTTATTGAAAATGCTTCATCATTGCTATTATTAAGCTTATTATCATATACAATAACAGACAACTGAGCAGCTTTCTTAAATAAGTTACATTCATCAAAGCTATTCACAGCAGCTTTTGCTGAAGACATCAACAACTTCATGTAGAAATCAGCCCACAAGACAAATGTGTAAACAATAGATAACATAACAAGATACACAAAAATCACAGGATTTTGGATCATGTATTTATTAAAAAAGAATATCCATACAACTACAATGAAAACAAATATAAGATTCACCTTTGTGATCGTGAAATTAATACCATTCATACTGTTATCGTAGCTACGTTCCTTGGCATCAAGTGAATCAAACATGGTGTCTTTCTTCACAAGCAGTTATCATCCATTAGAGTTTTGTTCTTCAATCTCACAGTAGTAGTGGTATGATTTTGCTTTTTTTTTTTAACAAGTGTACGTTTTTCAACTAAGACATCAGCATACATGGCATACAAGGCTTTTATGGCTTTCAAGGCATACAAGGCTTTCATGGCTTTCAAGCGTTCGTGACTCAATCCGTTCCAAAAATACTGCCCAGTAACATCTTTTAGTGTGGATTGTCCGCGAATATGACTTGTGCATGCGTCTGTAAGTATTTTGAGTGTTTGCGCCATATAGCTCTAGGTAATCATAAACAAAGATATTGCACCTCCATCACCAAAGCAACAATCCCAGAACAAATACAGAATGGCTGACAGAAGAGTTTTATAAGCAAAAATCTTGTGTTCGTCATGTGACCCGGCCTTGTCCATGCATGACAACGTCAATCATCGTCAAGATAACATGCATGATCAGCATGTGAACACCTCCACCCCCATTGGATCACAGTTAGTTATCATGGTGTTGAGGGCCCAATGACCACTGGGTACTATTGTGAAATTTTCCCATTTTGTGTCAGGAAAAAAAAAAGAGACAACAAAAACAAAGGCGTTTTATGACTGGGCTACCACAGGTATCCCAGTAATGAGAGACACTTAAAATTTTTGAAAAGAAGCGAGTAAATACTCCTTGTGTTATGCAGTGGAAAATACTGATGAATTACTGTGTGATCAAATTTAGTCTTCAGTTTTCTTTCTTATTATTGTCTTTGTTTTTGGCTAATAGAATATACTGAAAAGTAAAACATTAACTGAATGTTGTTAACTTCATTTTGTTTACTTATTCATTTATTTGCTTATTTATCTCTTTTCAGCCACTGCCTGAAGATTCTTGGGAAAGAATTCAGCTCAACTGGTCTTAGAACAAGTAATTATCATCAGCTTTCTTGTTTAAAAAGAAATATTCTGAAAAACTGGAGACTAAGAAAAGTAAAATATGCCTTATGGTGTTCTGTGGGTTTTTTTTTTTTTTTTTTTTTTTTTTTAACATTTTAATTGTTATAAGTACATATAGGTTAGAGAGTAGCTACAGCATCAAATCAAAAATAGAAAGTAATACCTTTACAAACTTCAAATTGTATCTAAATTTTTTTGTTTATGATATTTAGCTCTCTGTTACATGGACATTTAAACCAGAAATAATGAAATTGACCTGAATGGAAGATCAATTTTTCAGTTGGCCATTTTGGATATACTAAAATTCAAACTTGACTCTGAAGCCTGGGGGAATAAAACAAAGTAAATGACATGGAGGTTTAGCGATGAATAATTTATTTCTTTTGTTTTATTCCTCCTAGCCTTAGAGTTTCATTATATCAAAAATGGCCTATTAGCTAGTTGATGGAAAGAACTTGCATGTAACAAAGGAGAGTGTTAATGGTCAAATTACCATTGATCAGGTGATAAATTGTTGTCGTGGAGACTGATTGAATTTTCATTACTCATGTCATCAGTTCCCTAGTAATAAAACATCAACAAATTAAAGAGCCTTTTTCTCCATTTTTCAACACATCAGTGGCATTAGAAGTGTACCTTAGTGCATAATTTTCTTTGACATGAAATGAAATTCAGACTTCAATTTTCTTTATATTGTTTCTTACCAATTCAAAGACTAATTTTCTTGTTTGTTTATTTAGTTGTTCCTCAGCAATTTGGGTCCCAGAGTGCCCATTGACAATTTTGATTTTGATTGTTGTTTTTCATCTGGAATTAATAGGTGAATTTTGAATTTTCCATTTTTCCCCTTGATTCTGTCATTTTGGAACCATACAAACAGATGTGTCCTTTGGAACAGCTTCTCTTAAGAATGCCTGAAACTTGGAAATCAGCAACTAGCAGTTATTTCATACTGACTGAGAACAATATTGGAAAAATATTGAGGAAAAATTGAAACAATTTTGTATTCAGTTCAAATTTCAGGAGGATGGAGGAGTAAAAGGAAACCTGTTTCTAATCTCCTCTGAAATAGAACTGAACAACCAGTTTCATGTTTGCCCTGGTGCCCCAAAGCACAAAAATAAGGTTGAATTCCTTTTTGCATGGTATACATTTATAAAATCAACTGTAACTGTCTGCACACATGGACACACCCACGTCTGCTTTGCCCTGAATATTTTCTATCTTTCCATGGATTTGTCCACCGCAGTAAAACGTTACACAGTTTAATTTGAGTGTTAACCTAATAGTTATGAAGTACAACAGAAGTGGTCTTTCCAAAGTACATAAATGCTAACCTAAACTTGATTCTGTGAATTTACAGCTTTGTAGCCAGTTGGGGAGGTTAATGGTATCCAGGAAAGGGTGTGTGATTGGCTGTGAGTTGTTCTTATCACAATGTGCCCTTGATAGGAAGATGCCTCCAGCTTGAACTTCCTTTCCACTGAAGTTGTAGTTAACTTGCACAGCTACAAGTAAATTTATGAGAAGTATATGACCCTAATTCCTATGCCACTGTTTTTTGTGGTTTGTGAACCTTTTTGCCCACAAGTTACACAAACTACTGGCCAGTTCATCTCTGCTACTGGTTTAAAATTCAAAGACTTAATAATCTATATTTATTGAGACGAAAATACATTTGCTCTGTCATCACTTTGCCATGTTGTAATGTAACAATAAAACTTGATGTCTGTCTAGAAATATGACTCTATTTGTAGTTGCAGGAAGCTTGGTGGGTGAAATGAGTCTTGCCACAACTTTATTGTTTTTTGCTCTACAAAAACCATCCTTTTTTGTCCACCGGTTTGGCTATCAGTTGTGTGTATATTTCAGTCCATTCATTTTGCTGTCTTCAAATTGTACTAGAGTGCTTTTATGTCTATCTGTTGGCCTTTCTTGTTATCTTACTGAAGTTTGATGACATTCTCATGTTTGTCTTGGTATTTCATTTGATGATGAAATTGCATTCCAATCCTCTTCACACAAAGTTAGGTGTTACCATTATGAGGGCCTACAGAATATACTTTTGCTGGTAAAACTGTAAACTTGTTCTTGTGTTTTTAACTTGTTCGAGTCCAATTCTTTTCACTATCAGACAGTTGGTAAACTCGAGGCTTTCCTTCTGGAAACACTGTAATCAAAGGCTGCGGATGAGTGAGAATATGAAGGAATGTGGCTCTGGTTGTAGATGCAAAGTAAGGAGGTTCACAATGAGGTGATGTTGACAGGTTCTGTAAGGAAGAAATACCTCAGACAAGAAACAAAGATAAAACAAATAATTTACTTGGCAGGCTTGCCATTAGACCTCAGCTCAGCCAATGATGTGTTCATCATAAGTGAAAAATTGTTTAACAAAACACAAGCTGATTGAAAAAAACATGCTTTCTTTCACCAAGTTATGACAAAATCAAAATCTTAACTGTAACTGTGTCAGACTTCATTCTTGGTTACAAATAAAGGTGGCTTTGTTATATGCTCACCCTGTTAATATGGTTGGGTAAGGATACTTATGAAGGTAGTCTTGACTTACAACTGAGCCTTTTACCAATGAAGCTCACAAGGGTCAGTCTTAAAACTGGGTTGAAATTTTGTAGGTGTACCTGTGCCTATTATGGGAAGTTTATAATTGGGACTTTTAATTTTGTTCTCAATCATTTACACTTTCACAATTCAGGTTTAACTATAGGAAAGTGAAGAAGAAGAGCAAATGGATATTTTATTTACTTATTACCTGTAGTATGACTTTGTCATCTGCATTACAATAAAACTCCAAGTATTTAGCAGGCAATTTGTTCTTACTATCATAAGGTTCAATTTGCAGCTCTTTGTTACTTGAATTATATACTTCTACCATCTGTTAAAGGACAAAGGTGAATCTCTGATTATTATTTATTCCAAATAATAGTGGAAATTATTTTAAAATTTTATATCATCTCAACCAATCTTCTAAGGTGCCAAAAACAATACTTTTGCTATCAAAAGGTTATCCTTTCCTTTTTTGTAGTTTTAAGAGATTCAAATAGCATTCAAATGAAGGTGGCTGTGGATGCAAAAACTGGCTGGGAACCTGTGTCCAGTCTTAAAGTTATGTTGAGCAGAAATAGTAAGATGTGAAACCTTTTAGGTATGAAACCTGATGTGATGCTAGGTTTACCATGTCATTCAACTGTAGAATACAAGCAACTCATTGAAAACAAATCTGTATTATCAAAAAGGATTACTTCTTCTCCCTATGTGATGGTGACCTTATCACCCAACTGTTGCCTGAAAAGTAATCCCGTAACTGTAACAGAAGGCATGCTGGGAGTCTGGATAACATGCTTGAAAGTCAAGCCAGAAAGAGGCAGAGGAGCTTCATTTCAGAAAATCTCAACAACTTCCTCAATGTAGCAAAATGTTAGGAGTAAAAAAGCATAATTATTTCAATTAAGTTGAACATTTAGATAGATTTAAGTGCTGATAAGCTGCTAAAAAGAAATTTTTGTCAAAGAATTTATGGTGCAAGTTTGCATATGGTATATGTTATTGTTGTCCCTTTCAGAGAGTCTTCTAAGTGGCAAGCAGTAATTCATGGAATAAATTATTACTTTACCCTTTCATCACCCACAAACACACGAGCATGTCGTATGATTTCATCAGGACCCTTATTCTCAAATGTTGCTGGATAAATCTCACCATCTTGAATGCTGACACCTGTCACACAAAGAAGATGATCAAGGCAGTACATAATCCAAATCTACACATCAAGCTAATTTTGCCTTTTTCAAGGTGGGCAGTCATAGGTTGCATTCCCCTCTCTTGATTGCTAAGTATGTAAAGGTAGCAAATTTGTGAGACAGTGGTATTTGTGTTACCTATTCCAGAAATTATAGGCTTGTGTTGTCCACTTTCAACCACATTGTTGAATCCTGTTAACACAATACAGTAAAGTCAGAGAATTAGAAAGGAATCATGTGCATGACACCAAGCATTGTAACAGTGAACATCTCATTCCTTCCCGTTATTTCCCCCTCCACTTCCTTCTCCTCTGTCTGCTTATTAATAATAATACCTCTCCTTGCTTCTCCTTTACCATTTCCTGTAGTAAGCGAGAAGGACTTTTATGTTCTAATATGCACATCATTTCCCTATAGACTCAAAACTTTAAAATAAACGTGTGCTTAAACAAAAGTTGTAATTTCCCCAACCAAAATGTCTACCGGTGAGTAACACAGTGCGTCTTGACAATCTCCTTATTTCCTAACCTACCTGTACCCACAAGGAGAATTTGTTTCACAATCAAGTGCTTTTTTGGTTGGCAATCTTTTCCTGTAATGTTGTGACTGTAATGTGTGATTTGAGGGGTGGTATTGTACAGAGAAATGAGCTGCTAGTCATTATGTCAGGTCAGAGAGTTTTAACTCTTGAAGGAGTTTGAGAGGTTTCAAACACATACCTGTTACACATGCTGAACATAAATGAATGGGTTCGTCCTGTTTCTGTAAAGCTTCTAGAACATGATTTAACACATTAAGAATTTAGGATTCATTTTGTAAGAGGAATTTGTTACATATCAAAGAAAAATTACCTAAAATCGATACTGTTAATCCACTAGAAATCCCCCTATCATCAAGAAATCCTCCAAATAAGTGAAGCTCATTCCTAAGGAAAATAAAAGAGAGACGTAGTGGTGATTAAATAAGGGTTCTATAGGTCAGTTATACCATCATAACTTTAAAAAAAAAAATGAATGATAAACAATAAAATAAAGAGAGGTTATTGGCCAGTTTAGCCCAACACTTAAAACAAAGGTTCAATTACCGTAGATTTGCAGGTGAAATTATAGATATTAATAATTGTGGAACAATGTGATCTATCTTTACTTTCATTAGATTAGCAAGTAAAACCTTCTTGGATGGATGTGGTTAAATCAATAGCATTACTTGCCTTCCATTTGCATCACATTTTGATCGGGAAAGGTTAGTGACAGATGCAATCATGCCTTTGATACCTTCCTCTGTACTTTGGCCATCAAAGTGTCCTAGACTTACCACACCTGATCCTGATAGAAGTAATATTCATTATACAGGTACCTTAAGTATTGTATTAAAAAGAATGGTCTGCTTGGAAAACATTTGTCATGTCCTAATCTTGCCAATGTATCTAACCTGTTGTTTAACAACAGTATTCTTTGTGCTATAAACATTTTAAAAAAGACATAAAATGCAAGTTTGAATCAACTTTAGTAACACCTCTTACTCTAGTGGAGGATTAAAATGTATCTTTAACAAACTAAGCCTAGCTGACCACCAAATCATCATGACCAAATTGTCAATGCTCAATGCAGTTTTTATAGTCACATGAAAATTTCAATAGAAAATATACAATTCAAATGTGAGCCTGTCTCTTGATTCTGCTGCTAAAAGCCTGAATCCCAAAATCAGTTTAATTCCGTCTCAGCAGAACCATATTTAGAAATACCTGTGTTTTGTAAAACAACAATATGACAAGTTGTAGCATCCTCAGATCCCATGATGGTAATAGGTTCTGCAAAATGAAGTATGGAAAACCATGCAAAGCACAAATGAATAAAGGAGTAAGTTTCTAAAGAAACTGTGGTGCTGTCTCAGTGGGAGAGTATAGCAGGTAATTTAGTGTTAACAACTGAGTTGAAAACGTAAATTAGCCATTGTAAAGGGTAAAAAAGCTGACATTTTGAGCGTTAGCCCTTCGTCAGAGGGGACAGAAATACATCACTCTGACAAAGGGCTAATGCTCGAAATGTCAGCTTTTTTTACCCTTTACAGTGGCTAATTTGTTTTCAACTCAGTTGTGAACACTAAATTACTTGCCATGCAGAGCACAGATAGAGTTTTCTACCCTACTGAAAAAATTTCCAACAAACTAGCTACAATTATCCATGTGGTAATGTGAGAACATATAAAATACCCCAGCGAGTATTGTAGGACATTCATAAAGGGAGAAGGATCGAAAATTGTTAAAAGAAATACACTGTACAAGACAGGTGTGATATTTCAAGGACCCTTAGTAGGAAAAAGTGAAAAGTAAAGCTTTACATGTGGCAGAGTACTCAATAAAACTTGCACATTCTGGAAGATTTCTAGGTTATGAATACAATAATTAGAAAATTACCTTTTAATGATATTGTATAATAGTTGTGGCACCCAGTCTTATACAGAAACAATTAACTCTGGCCTTTTAGGCAAGAATATTTTGGAAGAGTAAGAATTGAAACAAAGAAAGTGTATATAGTTTTCACAAATGAAAAGCTAAAGCTCCTACCATCATCTTGTGCCACAGTAGCATATTCCCTTTGAATGATGTATAGTACTCTGCTTGGTCTCTTTACCCTTCTTTGTGGCTTTTTGCAGAAATTTCTAGCACTTTCCTACAAATAAAAGCACGTCATGTTTGCATCTGTAGAGTGACCCCATTTATGAACAAAGGTAGTATTAAATGTACCAGAAACTCAGTCACTCTTTGTGAACTTTTATGCTTGGAGATCAAATCTAATTCCAAGACTGTTTGGAGAACAGAAATAACTGATCTCAAGACTTGAAAACTGGACTCCTGAAATCTCAGATCAAGACTGCTTCTAAACTAAAGAAATACTTGTCCTTCCTTAATATAAATATACTCTTACAGCTCCTATGTAGGAAACTTTGTGTAAAAACACATAATTATGTACTTTTATTAAAAGTAGATGTTAATGTCAACCTCATTGGTGATTTGGGAGAGCCAGTACCTTTTCACATGCTGACCATCATGTATATTTGTTTATTAAAATGCAAGGAAGTTTGAGCGTCATAAAATAAGAAAAGAAGAGAAAATTTCTATGCATCTTAGAAAAAATTGAATAGACATTACAAATTACATTCGACACCTTCCTTACCAAATTTTGCTTCGTCCCTCCAACATTTTTGGAGAAAATTAATACACAAATCATGCCATAATTGATATGATTGGAGCCAAACTTAGCACCCAAAGGAATTGGAAGCAGGCGGGTGGCTTCAAATTGACCTACCAGCCTTATCCTTTATTGTAGTGGTTCAACACTGATTGGTCAATTTTAGATGGCCATTATCCCAAAATTACTGGGTTCACATTCAACTTGCCTGGCATTTTAAATATTTCAGTAAAGAAAGAAGGCAACATTGAGTTCCCATTCACCTAGCCAATCAGAATACAGAATTTGTTACTCCCTTCCAGGAGTGAGGTAGTTTCCAACTCAGTTCCCATCAACAGGTAAGTTGCCAAGCCAACACATCATTTTAACTACTTTAAAGTATGCATGGGTTCCACAAAAATTTGACTTCTAAAACTTCCCCCAAACTAATATAATTTCTATGTGTATATTCTAGAGCCAATATATCTGTTAATAATGGTGATTGAACTGAGTAGAGTGCAATTTGTATAGGTAATTACATGATTTTGAGTGCAACTTGAGACAAAGCACTGAGCATGAGTAACTTTTTCAAGGGTTAACAAAATTACCAAAGCCCATAGGTAAAGTGCAATTTTGAATTGCGCATACTGATTCATCCTAAATTGCACAAGAAAAATCATGTGATTACTAGTTAATAATACAAGCAAAAATATGATTCTGTTTTCCTTTTTAGTTGGTTTTTGTTCCATGTCACGGCTCACCAGTGCAGTTGCTTGCCTTTGCCTTGTTGCCAGAGTTGTCTGGCTTTTCCCTGATGAACTTGCATCACAAGAAAGCTATCACACTTGTAATCTTCCCAGTTTTTCATACAAACTGTGGCATGAAACTCCTTAAGAATTTTTTTCAAGCCCTTCAGTTCATACTTTCATATTCTTTCTTGAAAGCCAGATTTTTATCCAGTTTTTTCCTTCTGTTGGGTGTTTTTGTTTAAAGTATTCTCCCCCAAACTCTGAATTAAAACATTGTTACTATCTCCTCACCTGTTCTCCATTTTGTTTTCCTGTGCTTTCATGACTTACCTTTCTGCACTCAATTTTAACTTTCTGCACTCAATTTCAACTTTCTGCACTCAATTTCAACTTTCTACACTTTTTGGGATTAATTAGTGTCTTCTCAGCGAATGAGCATGTTGAAATTTTTGCCTGTGTACTTGATCTGGTCTGACATCGTATGCATGATTTGAAATCACAAGTATGAATTAAGACCAAATTGCACAATGCAAAGTTCAATTACCAGTTTATAACATCCATTTTGAAATAGCAAAATTCAGTGGCTCAGGTACAAGATTTTTTAGTTTGTAGAAAGTTGCAAAAGTTGTTTTTCATTTTCCTGCAATTTTATTGGTTTCTTTAAACTAGCAATTGGTTGTTGTATCAGTAAAGCTTCCTCGTTAGCTGGGAAAAAGATGCGATTTAGAGCAAAAAATGATGCGATTCGTGAATAAATTGTACCAATGAGAGCCAATCAGATTACAAACATCACCAGTGATTTCAAAATGCATGCAACAAATACTCAAAACAGATTGCTGAGTAGATGAGTATACCGTACCCTAAAATGTTCATGTTTTCTTGAAAATTCTTCAAAGGATCTTAGTCGTGAGCTTTCAATCTCGCCATTTATTACTAGCGGCATACCTAAAGAAAACAAGGAAAAGGTATACAGGACTACTAAACCGTATTTTAGTGGCTAGTGCATGCCAATCTGTCCATTCTTAACTAACTCGTTTTACCGGCAAGGTGGGGCCGCTACGGATACCGTCGATACCGAGGTCTGCTCGGAAAATATCGATATTAGAGGAAAGTATCGATGCTACGAGGAGCCGAAAAGACCCTGGGCTTGAGATTGACGAGAGTTTGGGCGATGAAAGCGCCGCAGCGTTGCAGATATGTCTTCCGGGTTACGCTATATCGGAGGCGTTCGTCGAGGGTAAGAGTACACGGTAATTTTGGTCAGCGGGAAAATTATCAAACCCGCGAATATTGCGAAAGCCCGCGGAAGGATGACATCTAAAAACTGAAGACAATTTTTGATTAAGACACTAGAATGCGTAATGATGCCGGTAACTAATCATTCTTCTTTAAATAGATCGGAGATTGACTTCCTTGAGGAGAACCTTGAAAATTGTTCTGTTGAAAACCAGTACTTCTTGGGTTATTTCGATGGGAAAAGAGACGAGTTCGAGGATATTCTCGAGAGGTTTCTTCTTATTAGTTCCACATGCTTTGTAAAGAAGGCCTTGAGGCCAAAGGGGTTAAATCACAAGAGGCTTTCGAAAAATGGTACGCAGTTTCTTTCATTTTTTTAGCTGATTTTTTTGCCTTTATCAATTCGGTGTGGGCCTTGTAGAGACTTGGTCATTTGCTGCAATTTTGTAAAAACTTACTCAATGCACCGGGTGTAAAAGTGTTTAAATATTTAAAAGTATTTCATATATTGGAAAGCCCTTGGAAAACACTCTAGGTGCGTAATCTAGTATACCGAAATACTTTTTCAAATTTTTCGTATTACGTAAGTAAAAAACATTGAACTTCTCTCAACGGACTCAACCCTGCAAGGAGAATCTCTCTGATAATTTACTATTTAAGAGACGACATTACCGTCTAAAATTCAAACGTTACTGTTAGGCTTATTAGCGCATTGATAACCTAGTAAATAGCTCAAACATACTGAAAACATTTTTATTAGTTTTTGTATATCTTTATCTGTGAGCCACATGTGAGTAAACAAAAACAGAGAAGTATAGTTTGATGGCTTGTTTTCATGAATCTAGGATTTTGGGAATCGCTATAAACTACGCGATCACGCATTTAGTAATATTTCTTCTCCTCCTAGTGATCGATACTGGAAGAAAATAGTAACGGTGTAATGCTATTTTATGTCTTAACATCTTAACATTTAGAATGCGAGATAGTAACAAAATAATCAAGCAGCAACAACCATTAACATAACATAATAATCCGAAGACAACGAACATTAAAAGAGTGCAGGGTACTGAAGAAATAATGAGGCAACAAAGGAACATTAAAGGAGTGAGAGATACTAACGTAATAATCCGGAAAAAAAAAAAACAAACATTAAAAGACTGCAGTATACTAACGTACTATCAGACAACAACTACAACAACAAACATCAAAAGATGTTCAACATTGGGTTTAACATTGAAAGTAACTATTCATTCCAACAAGGGAAGCTAAAAAGAACACCAGAAACTAATGTAATTATCGGGCAACAATAAAAACTAAAGAACGCCAAATACTAAAGTAACAATCATGCAACAAGGATAACTAAAACAATGCCAGATACTAAATTATTATCGGAAAACAAGGCAAACTACGGAGCACAGTAAATGCCATCTCGTATTTGTCATCCACTTTTTTCTCCACCACAACTTTATTTTATTTCAGTTTTTTTTCCCGGTACGACTAATTCTGGCAAGAATTTTTCCGGCACGACTTTTTACAACACGAGTTCTAACTTTTTTAACAGGAAGACTCAACAAAAGAATCAACGCTGCAAGTCACCGCCGGCCGATCGCAATGTAGTTATTATAATTATTTTATATTAGTTAGTTTAGTTAACTGAAAAGCATACTTCGCTCTTTAACATCGTTCTGTGCGTAAGTGTTAACAAGCAAGAAATGTGAACCTTGACATTTGCATCGAGATGGACGCGACGGCCTTCGCAGTCAATACTTTAAGATTTAAGCTGAAACTCTAGATCATCTGGTACAACCACCAACGTTCCGCAACTGCGGTTAGTACTATGTGAAAAGAACATCTTACCTTTCCATTGTAATTTCCAAATCATTTCTACTTCTCTAGTGCTGTAGGTTTCTTGAAGGAAAATAATGTTGGCATTTGTTTCTTGATGACGCCTTTCTTTTAAATACAGAACGGATTCTTCAGACGTTTAGAGGATAAAATCAATATTGTTTTTTGTGAATATTCATCATCAAATTGAACAAATAAACACAACTGATTAAAAACGTACGAAAGGAGACCAAGAGATCTCATGAGCACGGTTAAATACCGACATGGCTCAACACATTAGACCTGTTACATATGTCGGCATTTGACAATGCGGCATTTGGCACAACATTTATCGGTGTGTAAGTTAGCCGAATGTTGGAGGGAGAAGACTGCACCCTGGATGTTTCTATTATTTAGCCTATATACTTGTCATTTTGATCTCCAAAAGGTATATCTCAATCGGGATGGAACGGAAAAACGATCTTAAAGGTTTAAAATCTCACGGCTAAAATGCAACTGAGGCAAATGTTATGCAAGTACGGCCGTTTTGTAACTTTTCAGGGACTAGGTAAGACTTGCACCTCCAGTATGTTGTAATAAGACTTTCTTAATAGTCCGATGTCGTTGAAGCCTGCGACCGAGGGTCTTCAACCCGAAATAGGTTATCCTAGACCAGATGTCTACAATTACTGCCACAATGGTTGGGTTTATCTTATATTTTAACTAAACCATGTTATCCTAATAGATGCCGATAAAGCGTGAAGGATTCTTCGATAACTTTCAGAAGTCAAGTCTATAACAGAGACAAGAAAAATGGAAAAAAACATGCCCGTTATATTGATATTCTTCAGTGTAAGTTTTGTCCAAAATGATGTTTTTGATTCAGTAATACCAATGTGTCTACTCAAGAGGAGAATTTGTCGTACTGTTTTAAACAAAAAATGTTACTTCTTGCCAATCCAGGATAAGGTTCACATTTTATAGAAGAAAATAACACATCATGCACGGAGGCCCAAAACATACCAATACGTTGTTATCCAGAACACACCCTTTGTCAAATGATATCAAAGGGCTGTAGCCCAGTTTCTGACAAGTTGACATGTTTTGTCTGATCTCGGCATGTCAATATAGGTTTCAAGCAAACAGTATTAGAAGAAACTCAAATTCCACTTCAGAGGCAGCAAAGGAAAGATTTAGCGGGTACCTGAAGGAGAACCTCCGGTTACAATTGTTTCTCCGCTTTGCACCAGTGCAGTGGCTGTGACTGCATTTCTCCCACCGTCATCTGCAGAGTGATCGCGATGCAGCATACAGGAGCATAGAAATCAGAGCCAAGAACCGACATGCAACACTTGACAAGAAAACGTTCGTGGAATGAGTTTCCAACATTAATTTTTAAAGTTTTCATCATGGACGCCCTTCAAAGAAAAGGGAATACATCTGTTCATGTTAAGATACGTGACTAAAAAGTATACGGGCTTTCTACATCTACATCTTACAATTTATTGACTTGATAAAATCGCAAGATATGATACCAACTGTTCAAATAAATAAATAAATACAAATAATAAAAAAGAGACCCAAAATTTTAAAAATCTAAGAGCTTAAATCATGTAGTATATAAATTTCGACTAAAAATCAGTACAATAGAATACTAAAAAATATTGACTAACTTCGTCTTAAAGCTATCTACGTACAACAACTTCGGGAAGGGAGTTCCATAAATTTTTTACGTGGGAAGGAAGAAAACTTGAGCACATCTTTCTTTTTCCTTAGGACTACAACCTTAGATGGTTTAGATGGCTGCTACTGGAAAATCTTTTAGATAGTGGGAGAGATTATAGATAAAAAATAGTCGGCGGTTTCCTAGTTAAGTTCCTGCAGCATTTCCGTCACGCTTGTATATAGGTTGTAGTTGCTCGTACAGAATCGCACTACCTTTTTCTGAGCTTCCTATTCCTTTTGAAAATCCTACTTAGAAGGCATCCCATGCGGCACTTCCATATTCGAGGGTTGATCAGAACTAAGTTGTACGCCGTTTCTCTTATCGATCTGGAACTAATAAACAAGTTTCGCCGCACAACGCCGAGTACTTTACATGCTTTTCTCAAGACGGTCAGTACGTGTTGATCCATTTAAGAGTCGATTAGCCTGTTTCAACCGCTCAGCAAGTAAAGGGAGGCGTGAAAGCGTTCTTTAGGCGTCCAACCTAAACCTCTTTCGTTTTTCGCTCTATAGATTGCACTGTTTTCTTGCAGGAATTTCGCATCATATTACTTGCTGAACGCCTGGAAGAGGCTGGAGTTGGTCTAGTGATTTGGCGTGCCGCGCCAAGAAGCCAGTGAAAAGCCCAGTGTACCTTTGCACAGCGGGCTTTCTTTAAAATTATGTGCGCTTTCCGTAAGACGTATGCGTAAAAATGGCGTACCGTTCAATGGAGGCAAAAGTCATAGAAACGATAAAATTTAGCTGTTTACCTTCGTATCCGGACGCTATATCGTGGTCGCTTGATGATAGGGTGTCTATAATCACCGATAAATGTGTTTATATATTGGTATCCTTTTCATATTATTTATTATCATTATTTTTATTGATACTGAATAGCGCATCTGCAAGAGTAAAAAGCGACGAATGTGTACGATTAACGTTCGAGCTAAATGCAGGAACGGCGTGTTATTACGTCGACACAGAACCTAAATATTAAAATTCGGTGTGGTCAAAGAGAGATATCTCCGGTCGTGTAGAGTAAACGATGGCAAAGTATTTTCTGTTAACCAGCAGCTAAGAAAGTTCATATTATATTCAACAAATGGATTCCATGTTGCTGTGCACCTGTTCGGTAACAGATCGCAGGAAATGATGTTGTTATTGAGATATCTCAAGTGTCATACCCTCTAAGATGGTGCACTGTACAGAAGTTCACCGGTTAATGTACTTTTGTTTAATGCTTAATTTTTGTGAAATCAAGTTACCAAGTCTTTTTTGATATTTTTGTTTTGTTGATGTGCTTTTTCCTTTAGTTGCTGCAGAATAATCAGCTATTTTAAATGTCATATATCGAGTATACATTAAGCAGTGTTGTTGTAGAGTTGTGTGTTAAGGTACAGAGGGTCTTTTCTACAAATAACTGTCACTTGACAATTCCAAACAGACACTTACTTTATC